ATGTGTAAGCAGCAGTAGAACAAAACATGAAGCAGTATAAGAATTATAAGAAAGTTGGTATGCTATAAGAAAGTTGGTATGCTATAAGAAAGTTGGTATGCTATCATGGATCAGTCTCCTGTGTTACATCGACATACTAGGACTTGCAAGAAAACCGACCTGGCTGCCTTCCTCCTCACTGGGCTTATCTTAGTTCAGAACAAGCTTGAACCCGTTCTATTGAACAACTTGTTTATTGCAACAGTGAAAGAGATCCCTGATATTTCACTGAGCGGTCACGAAATAGGTCATACAATATTAGCCATCGGCTGTAGTGTCCTGCATCGGATCGGATCTGGGGCAGTGACCTGTGGGGTTCCGATGGTTGTGGAGTAGACCTGTCTCACCCCCACACACCTCGGCTGAGCCGAGAGAGTTGACACCCTGTTAGAGACAATAACTACAAATTGCGAACTGAATTACTCATTACTCATAAGTTGCGTGCTTCTATATGTGAGTGTTTGGTAGAAATAGAAACCACTTGAGAGTCTGGAGAAAGATCCGAAATCGTTGTAGACCTTGCAAGCAACAGGTAGAATTTCATACTTGATGTGTGGACTGCTATGTTTTGTGTCATTAGCGAGAAAGTTACAAGATGCTTGCCATGGAAACAAGGAGAGCACAAATTAAGATTTCGTAGTTCAAAGAGGTCTCGATGGTCATGCTCATCATAGTGCAATACCCCGTGTACGTACAGACCGTAGCTGAACTCAGGCCCACCCCCAGGTTCTCCAGACGTGGCCGCGTCTAGTCAAGTCTAAACCAGATGTAAATCTGCCTTAATAGGTTCGCTTCCTTTAGCGTACCTGGGGAGATCCTAACCCCGCAATTTAGGTCCCCCGCAAATCCCGTTGAAACACTTAAATGTTATTCGTCCCCAGAGGGCTTGAGTGCTCTTGTACTCTAGTCTCTACTTCTACTTCTACGCCTACGCGAACGATGCCTTCCCGTAAACTCAAAGACAGTGAACGCCAACGATGCGCCAATGCCTGCTATACTTGCAAGCGTCGCAAAGAGCGCTGTGACGGTCGTCAACCGTGTGGCCGTTGCATCACCCGCGGAGTGGATGCCGAATGCAGTTTCACCCCTTCTCCGACAAGAAAGCGCAGGGTTCGGAACGCCCGTCCTCCTACATCTGATTTAGACAAGTCGCAGGGCTCCATATCACCAAGCATCTCCTCCTCTATTGAAGTCTTCAACCAAACAGTGTCTCAAATCAGCTGCCAGACTGAACATGATTTATACAAAGACCACACAGATCGACCGCAGCTTTCTACGCTCATACAAGACGGCCATGGGAAGTTTGTCTTCATTGGTGACGCGGCGAACCTGTCCTTTCTACAGATAATCCGACGACTAGTTCGTGATTCAGTCGGTCCCTGCGCATTCACAGAGGATGCTCTACAGCATCTCATGGTTGAGGCCAAACCGTCGGACAGTTCTACATGGCTCGTAAACATCATGGATGATACACCAGTAATGCCCGACGAGGAAGAGGCTCGATATCTAGTCTCATGGTTCTTCCGCTCAACCAGCTGTGTACTCAACCTCTTTGACGAAGGAGAAATCATCGAGTCAATGGAGTCTTGGTATCACAAATGCTCTGATGAACCAGAGGATAAAGCGTCCGTGGCAGTCTTCTTCCTCATATTTGCAATTGGCGCCCAGACATGTCCTGATAGTAGGGACAAGGAAGCGGAACAGTATTTCAACTACGGACGCTTCCTGACCGCAACCATCATCATGGACGACATCAGCATATCCGCGGTCCAATCGAACATTCTTATTACTATGTACCTCTTGGGTGCATCACGACGAAACGCTGCCTTCATGTACCTCGGAAGTGCTGTCCGGGCAGCATATGCTCTCGGCATTCAGCGACACGATATCAACAAGCATTTCGAGCAATCCGAATATCTCCTGAGAGAAAGGTTGTGGAAGGTTCTTCGTGTCCTAGATCTCTTTATGAGTGCATCCCTTGGCCGCCCGCCATCAACACACGAAACTAGAAACACAGGGATCGACGAGAATTACTCAGCCTCCAACGATCTCTGCGCCATCTTTGAAGATATACTTACTAATATCTACTCCCCACAAAAAGTCTCAAACACACATTTGGAGAGAATCAGTGAGCACCATCGACAATGGGCCAACAAGTTTCCTTTAGGTCTGGCTACTGATAGCATAAAACCATCGAAATTCATCGACGAAGCCGACGGGAAGGAAACGCCTAATATCGGTCTATGCCATCTTAAAGAAGCCTACTACTGGACAATAATGCTTCTTGCTCGACCATCCCTGACGAAAAGCGCATCCAAACATATGTACAAAGCCAGTCAGGACATGAGTCAGTGGGAACCCCCTACAGCTGCAACTGAGCCAGACCAAGTTCTTGCATTTTCCTGTGTCGACTCTGCAGTTCGAACAGTTGACCTCCTGAAAGTCATGGGAGAGAACCGAGAGATTCCAAAGCGTCTCCCATTTGTCGTGAACTCATTGTTTGTTGCCGCGTTGGTGCTTGGGACCGCCTATTTCAATGACTTAGATCATATATTCCCTCTCGAGAAAAGTATGATCGGTGTACGAGCATTAATGGCTAGGTTCAGTACCCATGATCCTGTTGCCAAGGGAGCACTGCAAACTATCGATAACCTCCAAACTGTTTGCAACATATACGTCGATGAGAGGGCACGTCGGAAGATGGAGAGGCAAAGCCTTCTTGTACGAAGCCTCTTTGGCACTGTCCACGATGGATCTAGGCCACAGACTCCGAATCCTCATGACAACGCAAAGACAACGTCTTTTAGTGATTTCAGTCAGACTGAGGCAAATTGCGATTCGTGGTCATTTGGAGAATCGATTGGGGACATAGATGGCGGGCTCATGGGAATGCTACCTCATGAGGCTTTGGAGGCATTCTCACTTCCAACGTCCACGACAATTTCGTTTGATTCATTTGATGTTGGATTTCCTCTCTTCCCAACCGTAGATGTACGCAGTCTTGAGGTTGAAGGAAATATGGGGACGAATAATTTGGCGTTTGGGCTTTGATATACAGAATCGGAAGACTTTTATGGCTTGATGAAAGAACTTTTTCTGCATATGGTCTTTACATCAATGTGACATTGGGCAACTGTAAGACATATATTCAGATATAAATCCTGCTGAACTAATTACTACTCTTGATGGCCCAGGTGACCCCGCTTATCAACTCGTCCAAGAACACCTCCGTCTCGGGTAAAGATGGAACTATCCAGAAACAGTGAGGCAAATTGCTGTAGTGGTTGGTCTTGGTAGCCACACCCACAGAGGAGAGGCTATCATAAAGAACGTCTCCGTCATCCCGTAGTGTATCCATGCCGCAAGTCACGATGTATGTCCTAGGGAACACCTTCAAACATGTATCGTCCAGCAATGGGAAGTAATCCTCGTCGCCAGGGTCAATACCTGTGTTGTCAAACATCTGGAGAAGTGATTCCTCATCGACTATAGGTACGTTATCTTTGTTCTCCTTGTAGGACGAGTGTTTCGCCTGGAACTTTGCTGGGATGTTTTGTGGGTGGAATGCTACTGGGCATAGTGCAACAACTCCAGTGATAGCATCCGTGGGAAGATTCGTTTGACCAAGGATCACCTTTCTGGCAACTGAAAGGGCAAGACAGCCGCCAGCGGATGTGCCAATGGTAAACATATTAGAGTGATTGCCCCCAATTCTTTGAGCGTTGTTAAATGCCTAACGAATCCAAATTGTCAGTCAAGGTTCTTGACGTACGTTTAAATAGGCTGAGAGCTTTGTCTCTGACTGACCCATTCGTAAAGACTGACAGCATCCTCTAAATGAGCTGGAGCCTTGTGTTCTGGAGATAATCGATAACCCACGTTTACAATAACCACGTTGGCATTGAGTGCGACATGTCGACAGAATCCATCTTCAGAGTCAAGACCCCCTACAACAAAACCGCCAGAGTGATAGAAAACACCAATGGGCAAGTTCTTGGCTTCAGGGTTGAGAGGCGTGTAGGTCCAATATGCAATTCCACCTACCTCCCCATCGCTGATCTTCAACTTATTTTCTGGGAAAGGAGGAGCTTGCGATGCAAGGACAGAGCCGAGTCCGCTGAACTGAGTTCTCATTTCTTCCGCGGAGCCCTTCAAGACGGGGCGAATGCCACCCAGAGACTCTTCAAACTATACAAGTTAGTGCGTATAACATCTGGAGTATCATGGGAGCTTACCTTGAGCCAGGAATCAGCGTAAGAAGACATGTTTACCAAATATATTATCCTTGATAAGTTTGGCGCCTAGAATTCGGGTTGAAGATAAGCTTGGGATTAAATCAGTCCGGAGGGAGTATTATCTCCTCTTCTGGGCGGCCGGATCGTAACGCTCGTGGAAGAATCCTATTTAATAGTGCTTCTCGTCAATCAATTCTTCGGATAACATGAATTATTAAATTTGGGAAGTAAATTCGGCTGCTTGCTATTTCTTCGGAAGTTTGTCAAGTGTTCCGCGGAACAGAACCTTAAGGAGGTTCTTCGGATACAAAGTCCAATACTGATGGCCAATGGCACATCCGAGCCGAAGCACCATGGTTCTCTTATTCGGATAGGTTTATTCTCTGTTGGTCAGACTTGGAATTCAAGTCTGGCTTACTAGATATTTATGGCGGCCGAGGCTCAGACCGCCTGGTGTAGTGTTTTGGTTTAGGTTCCGATGCTTCGGGGAACTCTTAATTTTGTGATTCTTCCGAAAACAGACAACGGAAGTGATATGAAGGGAAAGGAATCGCTTATATATAGCTTCAATTGAAATCCCTTTTAAGAGAATTAATAAAGCAAGTTACCATTTAAACATCGATAGTCGACCAAGCCTTGACTTATACCAAACATTCTGATTCCGTCGACTGAGGGTCTTTCTTGAATTAAACCTTCACAATTTCCTTAAATTCGAGAGAATCCATCATGACCGTCAACACAACAGTCCTAGACGCACTAATCGTCGGCGGCGGGTTCGGTGGTGTCTACCAACTCAAACGTCTCCGCGAAGAGGGTTACAATGTCAAACTCGTCGACATGGCCTCTGACTACGCAGGTGTATGGTTCTGGAACAGATATCCCGGTGCTCGAGTTGACAGTGCCATACCGCACTATGAGTTCTCCGACCCGGAATTATGGCGTGACTGGAACTGGACGCAACGCTTTCCCGGCAGTGCTGAGCTGAGAGAGTACTTCTCATACGTTGCTAAGAAGTGGGATCTCCGCAAGGACACCTTCTTCAACACGTATATCTCTAAGGCTGTTTGGAATGAAGAAGGGAACAGATGGGAGATTGAGAGTAAAGATGGGAAGAAATTTGTCGCGCGATACTTACTCTTGAACACTGGCTTCGCAGCCAAGCGTCATACGCCTGACTGGAAGGGTATCGACAAGTTTGGTGGTCTTTGGATCCATCCTTCATACTGGCCTGAAAAGGAACGTGATCTGAAGGGTAAGAAGATCGCTGTCATCGGAACCGGCTCCACGGGCGTACAGCTCGCACAGGAGCTTAGCCAAGTTGCAAGCGAGTTTGTGCTCTTTCAACGTACACCCAACATGGCATTGCCCATGAAACAGATCGAATACTCTCGCGACGATAAGTCAATTTCCGAAGAGCGCTATAACGAGGTCTTCAAAGGTCGACATGCTAGTTTCGGGGGATTCGACTTTAACTTTTATCCTCACGACACTTTTAGCGATGATGCCGAGACGCGTCGGGAAGTGTATGAAGAACTATGGAGCCATGGCGATTTCAAGTTCTGGCTTGCGAACTACCAAGACATGATCTTTCGAGAGGACGCCAATGCAGAGGCCTACAAGTTCTGGAAATCCAAGGTTCGATCTCGCGTCAAGGATCCCCGTCTCCAAGAGATCCTGGCCCCAGAGAAACAGCCATACAGCTTTGGTTGCAAGCGGATTTCTCTTGAGAACGGTTTCTATGAGATCTTCAACCAGTCCAACGTCTCCTTGGTAGACGTCAACGCCACGCCAGTTGTTGAAGTCACAGAGCGTGGTATAAAGACAACTGAGAAGGAGTGGAAGTTTGACGTCGTAGTTTGCGCGACCGGTTTCGATGCCATCACTGGTGGTCTGAAGGGTATCAACATTCAAGGCGCTTCGGGTGTGAAACTTGCTGATAAGTGGGAGACTGGTGCGAAAACGTATCTAGGCATGGCTGTTGCTGGGTTTCCGAATATGTTCTTCACATATGGACCTCAAGCACCGACGGCGTTGTGCAATGGTCCGACATGCGCTGAATCTCAGGGCGAGTTCATTATCAAGGTTATGAAGTACATGTCGACTCATGGGCGTCATAAAATTGACGCTTGTGAAAACGCAGAAGCTGAGTGGGGAGCAAAAGTCCGCGACATCGCTAGTGCTTCTCTTCTACCCAGTACCAAATCAGTATGTCACACTCACTATCTTGAAAGGTTTGGTTTCATGATGGCTAACTTGCTTTAGTGGTATATGGGTGATAATATCCCAGGCAAACCGCGCGAGTGCTTGATCTACCTTGGCGGCGTTCCGACTTATACCAAGACGCTGAAAGACTGTACTGAAAATGGCTTCCAGGGGTTTCAGCTGAAATAGGCCCTAAAAGCTCATCAATAGCCATGAAGATGATGATGATGAAAAGACAGTGGAGTTGTTCCAAGAATATTAACATGATTGGAGCCGAACGTTTCATCCAATCAGGAAGCATCAAGGCGCAGTGGCAGAGTGGTCTAATGCGATAGACTAGAAATCTATTCTCTTCGGAGGCGTCTGTTCGAATCAGGCCTGCGTCGCTCCAGATATTTATCTTTTGTCAATTGAGTACATGATTGAATTTTTGCTTCTGGTTTCACTGCATACAATGATACTCAGGAGACTTATCGTGAAGCTCTTGGTTCGTGGCGATTGACGGACCTGATTTACCGATAAACTGTATGCTTGGCCATCAACACAGGGAAATAGCTTGGTGAATCAACAGTGTCTTTTTTGAGATATAAGCTAGAGCAAAGGAGTATTCATTTCCGTTATTTACAGCTTCAGGCTTCACGATTCAACCTCTACAACCCTCCCATCTTCGTGATTCCTCTTCCATAACTGACATTGCTCAGACCTCCAACCACATACGACCAAAGCTCGTAGAGAATACGGGGTCCCGTCCGCTCCCCCATCGTCAAGCTGCGAAGCGCCGGATTAGTAGTTGGGTCGGTGACGACCAGCGAATCCCCGGTGTTGTATGTTTTTTTTGGTCATATCGCACCTGAGCTAACAGAGTCATACGCAGAAAGCCTTGAGAAACCCTGGGTCTACTTCAAACCACCAGACAAGATGATATCTTGTCCAGTGAGATATCCAGTTTTTGCCATCCTTCGAAACTTTAGAAGTTATCCAAAAATGATAGAGGGTTTACTTACATAACAGCGATGTTGGCAACTTCTGAAGGATGGCCCAATCGGCGTACCGGGACACTCGCTGCAATGGCCAGACCTGGGTCTGTTTCTTTGAGTTCCTCTAGATCTGTTTTTCTTGTCCATGTTCTTATGTCTTGGGTCAGCCTATGCTGCCAGGGCCTTTAAATGCTAACAAAGAGTACTCACGTTTCTTTTGGCGTTGGGATCATGTCTGTAAAGCCAATCATTGCGGGGAGAATCTGGACCTGCTATCAGTATCTGCGGGGGAACAACTTCTCCCAAGACTTACAGTGTTAACTGTGACTCCCTCGCCGGCCAAGACAGTTGAGAGATTCTTGCCCATCGAGCTTGCAGATATCAGACATTATCTCCTAGACAGGAATGACTGACAGCTTACCTCAGAGCTCCCTTGGTCGCCGCATAATGACACCCATTGATACCACCGCCCGTGCTCGCAATACTTCCGACCAGAATCACACGGCCCCAGCTCTGCGCCCTCATAGCAGGCAGGCAGGCTTTCACCACCACAAACTGACTTCTAGCATTGACTTCCATAACCGAGTCCCAGTCATCTTCTTCGATGTTCTGAATATCTCGGATACGCCTGCCAAGGCCAGCGTTTGCAACGAGAATAGACACTGCTTTATGCTTGGCAGAGATGCTAGAGTCTTGTAAGGCCTTGTCGACTAAGCCGCGAGTTTCATCGCGAGAACTGAGATCGGCTGAGACACAAGGGAAGAGTTGACCGGGGTGGGCCGATGTTAGTTCTTTAGACAGGGCTTCGACTTTATGCTGGAAACATGACTTAGTATGAGACACTCTGTTGGGTAGAGTAACTCACAAGACTGGCGTTGCAGTGGAGTATGACATCACAGCCCTCCGCTGCGAGAGCTCTGGCAATAGCTGAACCGATCCCACCACTGAAATAATTAGCATCGAATGGATCATAAGAGTAGGAAGCAAGTTGTACCTGGCTCCGGTTACAAGAGCGAGACGCCCCTCTACACGGTTATCAACGTCACGGATGTGATAGGTAGTCATTTCTGCCAAATGTTTGAGAGACGAGAGAGTATTGGATCAGTTAAAGAGAAACTGAAAATGACAATCGAATTTGGGTAGATTGAGAGATCGTTTTCCGATAGATGGTGCTTTATCCGAGGGCGGAAGAGGGAGGGGTAACTAGTGGGTTGGGGAAGGCTCTTAGCTAAGCGATCCTCGGAGTGAATGCCGGGAGTTGGTTTCTGGCGGCCCAGGACCATATTTGAAAGTTCTCTAAATGTTCAGAGATAAAGAATTTGGGGGATTTTATGACTGCGCTCAAATGCTATGACGCATGGCTATAGACGGTGGATGTTGGAACTGGGGTGATATTTGTATGGCGCCACATTACATGATGGACTATTCTCGATCTAGGTATATATAATTCGACATTGACATTCTTGGCCTCCAACACATGTCCATTCAATATGAAAGGACCAATAAAAACATATGCACACAGTAAGACGACAGTGCTTCAGGTGCAAAGTGATATATATATTGAGCTCCTATGTCTTACGCACAAATCATGGATAACTACTTATCCAACGTGTCTAACCCTCAAACAGGAGTAGAAATGAATTTTGTCTGGAAATCGCCAAACTTCAAGTGCGCCCCAACAACATTGTCGTTAGTTGAGCTGTAATTCGCCGTAGCAGAGATCTGCACCTCCTTCCCAAGATCAGGATAATCAGTGCGACGAACCTCGACAGTCGTGAGCTCCCCAGAAAAGTACTGGCGAGCTTCATAAGCCGTGTCGTTGCAGCGCTCAAACTTGGGCTTCCCCTTCAGATCAAGGTCGTCCGAAAACACCTGCAGGCCGTGGCATGAAGCTGCAAAGTTTCCAGGGTCCGGGACACCGTTGTGTCCCTTTACGGTGAACGCCCATTTGATCGAGTGGCCATCGGGAGCGGGTGTGGCGCTGAAGTCGTCGCTGGACCAGGTGCTGTGAAGGTCCTTGGGGTCGGTGACGACGTATGGTGTGCCTGAGACGTTGCACACGAGGGCGATGAGGAGGACGGCTTGGGCGAGCATGATGAGTAGATAGGTGGATGGATGGCTGCTTGGGTTCAGTATTGTGGCTTCGTAACTGATTATGGGGCTCTATCATATATACTGACCTCTGGCGAATAGTTTCAGTAGGCGAAAGCAAATTTAGTTTTTTTTTTCTGAATGTCAGCTTCAAATAAAAGTCGTTCCAAAGGGAGGGAGAACAATATATATTGGCCTTTCACCCTTGTTGTTGTTCGGCATACCAATTCTCCAGAAATAGGTTTCCTGGAAAGTCTAATATATATAAAATACGAGATTGACAGCCATTTTAGGCTTCTTATAGTTCATCTTTCTCGTGTTGACGTCCGTGTCGCCCGGCGCATACAAACTATACCTGTTCGTCGTCTCATATCAAAGTTTAAATATTCCGGCAGTTCAATAGTCAGTGCCGACATCCGATTAGCCTACGGATTGCATGGATACTATTAAGCAGCCTAAATTTAATTCCTCAGGGACCTTGACTTTAGCTCACCCTTAATTATCCCTTTGTTACCGGTGCTCACCGCTAAAATCAATGCTCTTTAATCACTGCCTAGGCTATTCAATCCAAGAATCACGTTTCCTCATAAGCCAAATAGAGCAAAGCTCTTATTGTATACCAAGACCTCAAGCATTTACATGCTCAACAAATTCATCGCCCCTCTCATGCGACTTGCTTTCCGTCTTTGCCGCCTTCTCAGGATATCTATCATCCGCCAAACGTCCATGAAGAGCAAGTTCCTTCTGCATCTCCCTAGCCACCTGAACAGTATTCTCACCACGAGCAAAAATGTAGTCAACCTCTTCAAGAGCCAGGTTAGATGTCTCTGGGTACATAAAGAAGATGATCGGCACGAAGATGAGGTTAGTAGTCATAAAGATGAGATATGCCTTCCACTGAAGACGATTGATGAGGATGGGAGTGATCATGACCTATAAATCGTCAGTTGTAAACCAACAGAGACATTTACCGGGTAGTAGGACATACTACTGTGAAATTCCAGAGCCAGTTGGAACTGACGCCAATGGCAGTCCCCTTGGTTCGAGCGTGAAGAGGGAGAATCTCGGGGACGTAAACCCACGGAACACAATTCATACTCGCACCGAAGACGAGCATGTAGGTGAAGAAGAACGCTACTGATCCAGCAGCAAATGCTCGACCTCGTGACGTATCGTCTGCCTGAGATAGAAGTGCGGCTACCATCAGCATCGAGAAGGATAGCCCAGCAGATCCCCACATCATGGTAGATCGACGACCCATCTTGTCCAGAGCCAGTGTTGGAAGTAGAGACCCGATGGGAAACATCAGCTGAATACAGCCGGCGATTATTTGCGCGAGCCTGTGCTCAAGTCCGACGTTGGCGGTCAGAACAGCTGGAGATGTTAGCATTCCAATTATTCCAATGGGATTGAGAACGTACTTAAGATGTAGTAAACAACCAGGTTGATGCCGCCAGCTTGGTTCATAAACTGCACAAACCAAGCAAGGAACACTCGATATCTCGTGCTGACTTTATCCTTCCTAAAAGTCGAAGCCCAAGAAGTACTTCCCTCCGCTTCAGCTTCGATCGACAAAGCCGTCTCGATCGACTCAACTTCTCGCAGGATATCAGGATGATCAATGGACTTATCGTAGACCGCTGCCAGCACTTCAATGGCTTCTTGTCTTTTCCCATGATTGAGCAACCAACGAGGTGACTCGGGTACACCAAAAACCACAAAGATGACCCAGAATGCAAAGACGGATTGAAAAGCGAGCGGCCAGCGCCATGCGAATGGCCCGCCGACGAAGCTGAAGGCAAAGTCCCACCAGTATGCGAAGGCGATGCCGATACCGACGAACATGACTTCTGCCGAGACGAGACGACCTCGCTTTGTGCCCTCACAAAGTTCAGATTGGTACCTATACAATGTCAGTTTAGTTGAATGCTGTCAAGAGGATGCTTACATGGGAACTGTAGAAGTCTTGAGACCAGTGCCGACACCGGTAACGATTCTCCCAACAATGAGATGTCCTCTTGTAAACGCAGTTGCTTGCAACGTAGCCCCAACGAGAATCCAGCCCATGGCCACCCAAATAGTCCATCTTCTACCAAGTTTCTCACCAACAAAGAAATTCTTGAAGCATCCCAGCAAACAGCCCAGATTATAGCTTGAGGTGATGAATCCAGTCAAAGTATCACCAGGATCATTGAACTGTCGCAGCCAATCCTCGTTCTCAAGAATGCCTCCAAAGACACCTTGGTCATAACCGTAAAGAACAAAAGCGCAGAGACAGCATGATGTCACTGCACGCTGCAGTTTCTTGCCACGACCAAACCAAGTCCTCATTGTGAGTCAAGCCTTTGAGAACTAAGTAAAAAGAAACAAGAGAGGGTGATGAATCAGAAAAGAGATGCAGATCACCAAGGAACATTGCAAACTTATACGATTGCAAGAATCGCTTTTCCCTCTTAAGCCGAGCCATTTCCACTATTTCCGGGGACATTGGGGAAACCCCAGAGATCGGCGTCATTGTTTTGTGGAGAAGAGGAGTCTTGCTTGGTGGTTATAGTTGCCATGTTAGGAAATGTCTGAGAGTCAGGTGTTGTTTACATCATTTGGACGAGGAGGGTAATGCCAAGCGGTTGTATTGCATGAGTTTGGTAGGATGAGCCATTAAAGTTCTGATGGTGTCTTGTTTAACTGAAGATCATGGCGGCCAAGAGCTGATCGTGAGATGTCCCTTTGTCGAAAGATCCATTAGTTATCGGAACAATAGGACCAAGTGGAGTCCACCTTGTCTGAGAAAGGTTCTGAGCTAGATTTCTCTTCAATCTGTTCTCAATGGCGATATATTGAGACGGCCCAATAAAATGGGTTATCGAGAAAATTGCAATTTTCAAGAAATCTATAAAAACTAGTATCTATGACTTTTGCCCAATGTTGAAAATGCCTCCCATTGGCATCAATATGCTATCCCAAATAAAACAGTCCAACACACTACTGACAACCTTCTCAGACGTCGTCCAAAGCTGCTTCGCCAACTCAGCGTTGTTCGCATCCTCAGTTGGTTCTTTCAATCCACCGAACGGCATAATGAATGATCCAGCATACTTTTCTCTCTCTTGAGCTGGTTCTGGGTGGGCAGCAGCAAACAGAGGCGTGATGGCGCCCTCGAAAGGTGAGAGACTCGATCGGAATATGTCGTTGTCTCTGCCTCCAAGATATCCTGCCGCACCATTTGTTGCAACTCCTCCAGGATGAACACTGAGTGCAAGAATATCAACGCCCTCTTGGTCAAAACGGCGCTGAAGTTCTTTGATGTGGAGAATGCTTGCGAGTTTGGAGTAGCCGTAGCGAAGATAGTTAGCGGACGGTTCATCCTCACTCCCGTAAGTAACGTTGAAGTCCTCTAGCGAACCAAACCTTGCACCCGTCGGAACATCGTAGTGAGCCGTTGAAGCAACATTCACGATCCGCACACCAGGGTGTTCAGCTTGAGTTTTGTTAAGTAGCGGTAACAGCTCCCTGGTCAGAAGAAAAGGGCCCAGATGATTGATGCCAAATGAGACTGAGATGCCATTGCCATCTTTATCAAGAGGTCTAGCGAGAACAGCAGCATTATTAACCAGAATATCAAGCCGGGGCTCTTCTGCGACAACCTTTCTTGCAGCAAATTGAACTTGTTTGAAATTTCCCATGTCAACGGCGAATGGAACAAGAGATTCAGGTTTTAGCTGTGGTGATTCGGCGAGCATAGTTCTAATAGCTTTTGTTGCTTTTTGAAGATTCCGGGCGCCGATGTAGACTTTTGCTCTCTTGAGTGCGAGTTGATGGGCGATGTGATAGCCGACACCATCTGGAGTGCTTGAAAGCTATTAATTACGATGTTGCTGGAAGCGCTCGGATACTTACTTGGCTCCAGTGACAAGGGCGACTTTGCCGGCTAAGGATGGGATATCATCGAAACTATACTTCTTTATTCCAGTTAG